GAGGAGTAGAGGGCAGTCCTCGTGAGGGGGGCTCGCTGCACGCGGCTGCACTGCTGCACTTTGCTGCACGCGGCTGTACCGAGCTGTACCGAGCTGTGCTCAGCTGTGCTCAGCTGTGCTCGCAGTGTGTATTCGCAGCCCGTAGTGCCCGCCCGAGGGTGTGGGCACACGGCACGAGGCCGCAGTCCGCATGCCCTGGTGTCCGTGGCTCTGCTGTCCGTGATCCCACAACGCAGGGCGACGCTGTGAACGGCGTCTCTTCACACCTGCAGCTGTGAACAGGTCGACGCTGCGCGCGCAGCGCGCGCACACCCTGGCCGAGCCGGTCCTGGGGTTGCGAGAGGGCGGCGTTGCGGGGGCGGTGGGCGAAGTGTACGACGATGCGCCGTTCTACCACTCGCTGCTGCGGTCGCTACTCGAGGAGGGGGGTGCCGCCCTCGCCGCCGCCGCCGCGCCGAAGCTCAAGCGCACCAAGCGCAAGGCGGAGTCGCGCCAGTCCAAGGGGCGACGACTCTCGTATGAGGTGCAGCCGAGAGATGGGCGAGAGACCGCCGAGAGACCCGCGGCACGCACTGTGCTCACCTCTTCTCGCCTCCGCCCAACCCTCCCCGCCCCTTTCCCCACCTTTCCCCCCCCCCTCGCCTCGCCCCCCCCCCTCGCCTCGCCCCCCCAGGTACAGCCGCCGCTGCAAAACTTCATGTTTCCGGTGGTGCCCGAGCGCCCCGTCATCCTGGGCGAGCTCTTCTCGTCTGTCTTCGGGAGGCGCCCGCCGTCTGCGCCCGAGGAGGAGGGGGGCGATTCTGCCGCCCTCGACCCCGGCGCGACGCGGCGACAGGGCGCCAAGCGGCAGCGTGGCGGCGCGGGCGGCACCGCCGCGGACGCCTCCGTCGCGATTCGCCACGGCGTTGCCGCGGCGGAGGAGGAGTTTGAGGGCGCGAACCTCTTCCTGAGATGACGAGGCGGCGGCGCGGGTGGATAGCGCGCGGCGCGGCGGCGCAGTCCAAGCGCTCAAACTAAGCACAACCTCCATTCAAATGTGATTCCTGTGTCTACTCGGTTGAGGTTTTGGTCCGAGGCGAGTAGTGGGCCGGTGAGACGGCTGGTAAGTGTGGATGCTGGGTTGACGGAAATCGGGGGACGCGACCCACGACGTATACGGCTTTAGCGTAAACTTTTGTTATACACCAATATTCGCGAGTTTCTATACACACTGGTTGGGTAGTAGTCTAAGTTCTGAGCCTGGAGGCCTAACGGGTCTAAGTGTGGCTAGCCACGCTGGAGTGCTTGCGCGGTCTAAGATCAGCGGGAGCCTCTTACATCGGCTAAGTCGGCCGTGGACGGCCTGGGGCCAAGAGGCTCCCACCGTGATCAACGTACAACGATACGGCGCAGCCCCCAAATTTTCTTCGCCTGCGGCGGGCGATCGATCCTTCTCATGCTCAGCAATCGCCGCCTCAGCATCCTCCTCTTCCGATTCTCGTTGCTGCTTCTTGAGCGCAATCTTCGGCGACTTCTCGCCAAACAGTTCTCACAAATAGCCTCAAGCTCAAACAAACGCGTGTCAGAGAAGCCTGTGTATGCTGGTCCTCTTTGAACGATCCGCGCGTGAGGTAGCATAGGGCCTTGTTGGCAGCAGCCAGCTTGTTGCGCTGCTTCGTTGCGATGAGCTGATTGGGATCGCAGAAGTGCATGCCAAGCACCGCCACGATCTTGAAGCAGAACACATCGCAACCGCATCGTCCGCACTGCCATCGGCATGCCGCGCCCGCCGCTTCGCCGCAGCCGCCTTAAGGCACGCATAGCGGCAGCATATGGTACGTTGCGCGTACTTGAGCAGGAGTTGCGCGCCGCAAGTGGCGCACTGGCCCTGGGAGAAGGCGATATGGCGTGGCAAACGTTGGTCGGGACGCGTCCAGGTATTTTTCGGGTAAACCTGAAAGCTTTTCAGGTATACCGGGTTTTACCCGGAGTTGGCCTTATGTCGTCTAAGTTCATGGCCCCCGACCATGAGGGTCTAAGTCTGAGCCCGGCTCCGTGCGGGGGCTAAGTTGAGCGCTCGCTCGCTGCAGAGGCTAAGTGTAGAGCGACCCTCTAGCCCTACTACCCAACCATTCTATACACGGCCCGTCGCGCAATATAAAGAAATGAAAATGCGGGGTGGCACGCCGTCAGCGCGATTTCGGGCCGTAAACTCGGGATGCATTGAGCACACGACCGCTAATGGAGGACACATCCGCCGCAATTCGGAAAGCAAGCCCTCCACGCAGCCTCACGCACCTGTGAGCTGCGGTCCATCTCCACGCTCTCCACCTACCCCGCACGCTGACACGCTCCCTCTCGCCACAGGCACTCTCGTCGCAACAGCCAAGATGCTCTCGCACATCCTCATCTCGACCCTGATCCTCTCCATCGCCGCGGCGCCGGCGTCGTCGACGTCGCTCGAGGTGCGAACTTCACGCCGCTCGCTGGGCGGCCGCCCCTGGCAAAGAAAATGCAAGGTCCTCAAAGCCGACGAGTGGGTCCAGTTCAAAGAGGGCGGCGACGTCGAGGGGGTGGTGAGAGATCACCTGCGCCTGCGGGCTCGCCGACACACACCACACCGTCATTTGACTCCTCACTCCTCCCAGGTGCTCGTGGAGAACGACGCAAGCACCAAGCCCTTTGACGACGTGGCGCAAAGCTTCAAGTTCCGCCTCACCGGGCTCGACTCTGAGTGCATCGGCGGCATCTACCCGGTCAAGAACGCGACAGGAGGCACCATTGACGAGCCCGTGGACGGCCTGACCAACGCGTGTGGCGTCCACGTCCACAGCGGCATCGGAGGATGCGCCCCCCTGGGGGCTGGCGGGGCGACAGGAGGCGGCCACTATTATGCGCCTGGCTTTGCGGACCCATGGGGCACCGGCGCAGGTGTCAAACCTATCTTCACTTGGTATGAGACATGATTGCACCACGCATCTCCCCTCTTCCCCTTCCATCCTGCCTCCAACCCGATTCGTGCAGGCACCGACTTCAAGAACGACTACGACGTCCTGGCCGCGGGTTACACCGCCGCCTATGGCGAGTTCACCGCCACGACCGGCCTCACGCTTCCGGAGCTCCTGGCGCGCGCTCATCCCCAGCCCAGCGCGACCCTGTTCCACACCTCTGGTCCAACTCCTCACCACACGCCCAAACACGCACAGGGGGAAGAAGACGGCCCCGTGATCGTTGTCCACGGGGCCGATGGTGGGCGCATCGCTTGCGCCAAGCTCGAGTGCGAGAGGAAGGGTTACGACTGGTGGTGAGCAGGGACGCGCCACAAGAGCCCGAGGAAGCGGGCCTGGTGCTCTGTGCTGCTGCTTCGGGGCCTCGCCCTGCTGTACGTATACGTATGCGCATGTGAGACCCTGTCCGCTTGGGTCTATGTCTCTGGTTTGTAGTCTCTCTGGTCTGAGTCTTCAGTCTCCCCCGCCGCCACGTCGGGTGCTCGTTCGATCGTTAGTATATAGAGCACTGCTTGTTTGTGAGATGTGGAGCGCTGTACGTGTCGTGTGAGTGTGCGCGCTCCGTCGAAGCTGAGGTGGTACGCGATTTACGGTTCGCTCGCGCGCGCACTGTGGTCGGCGCCCTCGCTTGTGCGTTCTCATACGTGTTTATTACTCGCCATTGTTTGCTTGACGACGTTTCTCTCGTTTGTGGGGTCGACGCGATGCGCGAAACTAAGTAATACGCACGGCTTTACGCATTACACGAGTGTACGCGCCGCTACTCTGCACAGTGAGGAGTGAGCAGTCACACAGTCACAGAGAGAAGGGCGCAACTTGTTCTGCGCATCCGGTTCTACATCGTTCGGACTTTTGAAGCTTACGCTCGGCCATCGATGGCCGTGAAACGCACCGCGCGAGCCCGCCGCTTCCGCGCCTTCCGTGGTGTCCGCGGTGGCTCATGCGGGCTCTTCACCGCGCAGCGACCTTTTCCATCATGCAGTCGACATAAATCCCCTCTCCGTCGACTGCCGCGCTGACGAGGCGATAGCCTGCTTGGGCCGAATCGTTCAGTTCCTGCATGCTTTGCTCAAACTTTGCGTACCGTCGGTCTTCGTCGCCGTCAGTGTCCGTCGCCGACAGCGGGCCAACCAGATGGTGTTGATACGTGTAACGAGTCGCGGCCTTCTTCGCCTTCTCCGCCTTCTCCGCCTTCTCCGCCTTCTCAATCGCTGCCAGCCTCGCATCCAGCGCCTTCACGAGCCCAGACAGGCCAAAGTAATCGGCATCAGCCCGAACCTGCTCAAGCAGCGGCTGCGGTGGGGTGCCGGCCAGACAGCAGCTGCGGCGAAGGTAGCCGAGGATCCATGTAAACGTGGCCGGATCGGTGTCGAGAAAGATCGCGCCGGTCTCATCGGCCACAAGCTCACCAAACGGGCTTCCGCCTTCGAATTTTGTCGCCAGCATAGAGCCCTTCTCAGCGCAGAGTGTTGCCCGCGTGGTTGTGAAGAGCGTGCCGCCGACCGAGAGCCGCATTGGCTGGAAGTTGCAGCTCCCCACGGCGGGAGTGGCCGGAGTGGCTGCGGCGCCGGTGTCGTCAGTCCGCGCACGCTTGGCTGCGGACATGTTGCGGTCGCACGCCCAGGGCACTCCTGGAGAGGGCGCTACACAACGGTGAATCGGTCTCGCGCGCTCAGGGTTCCGGCTCCTACCCAGATAGGCGGTCTGTGCGTTGGACCCTATGCAATAGGTAGGTAGGTCCGGTTTTGACCGCCCCAGAGGGCCCCGCAATAGGTAGGTAGGTGGCGGTGGGTGGGTGGGTGGGTGGGGGGGGTGAAAGTAAAAAACCCCAAGAGAGTAAACCGCTTCGCTCGCGCGGGCGGGAGAGACGGCGCGTTTAGCCGCGAAACGGGGCCATGCCAGACGAGTCGCCATGCTCTGGCGGGCTCGCGAGCGGCGCCGCACCGCGGTATAAGCCGGCGCGGCGGGCGCTGGGACCCTATTCACAGAGGGCTAAACGGGTATTTTTTCGCTTCGCTGCGCGGCCTGGGAATAGGTAGGTAGGTGGGGCACGGAGCCTGGCGGTCGGCGCCCGCAATAGGTAGGTAGGTAGGGCGTTTTGGCGCGACTCAGTGCCAACAGACCCCCTATCTGGGTAGGAGCCGGAACCGGTTGACGGAGTGAGTATTCTTTTTTTGATATCAAACAGCGCACACAAGTCACAACACACACACACACACACACACACGCACACACTCACACACACACACACACACACACAACACAACAAAATCTCTCTCTCTCTCTCTCTCTCTCTCTCTCTCTCTCTCTCTCTCACAAAACAAACAACGTGTGAGTGTTAGAGTTGTGTGGTATTGCTAAAAATCTCTCTCACACACACACACACACACACACACACACACACACACACACACACACACACACACACAACACACACAACACAACACACACACACACACACACACACACACACACACACACACACACACACACACACACACACACACACACACACACACACACACACACACACACACACACACACACACACACACACACACACACACACACACACACACACACACAACACAACAAAAAAAATCTCTCTCTCACACACACAACGAGAGATTTTTAAAGACCAACAAGAAATCACGACTCTCACAGTGATTTGGGCTCGGCAGCTTGTTAGCCCTCAGCCGAAGCTGGGGCCGGTCCCGTAGCCGAGAGAGCCCGCGCCGATGAGTTCGACGCGGTCGGGGGGGCCTGCGAAGAGGCCAGCGAGATGGCGATGAGAGAACAGCCACTTCCCAGCCGTCCCTGGCCTGTTTGTGTCTGTGTGTCGCTCGTGCGTGTCGTCATCATCTGTCTAGCGTCCACCCATACCGCGTTGGTGTCCAGTCCGAGCCTGGCTGTTCTTCACCTTTCTACCTACACCTACCTGGCTGTAGCGGATCCGCCGCAAACTCGT